CACCACCACCACCACCACCACCACCACTACCACCACCACCACCACCACTACCACCACCTTTTACAGTACTGGGGATTGAGTTCTTGGGATCTAACATGTACATGCTAGCTAGGCAAGTGCTCTACCTCTGAACTGCCTCCCTGGCCTTCATATTATTAATCTGAATTTAAAAATTGGGCTGAGGATGGAGCTCAGGAACAGAATACTTGCCTAGAATATTTAAGGCACTACTAGGTTTGAGCCCTGGCAGTGCAAAGATAAAAGAAATAAATAAATAAAACCATTAATTTTGGTAAAGCTTTCTGTTTTGATCTGTGACCACTAAAAGGGTAAGGAACTTTCTTGAGAGGAAGAACCGGAATGGTGACATGTGAACCACTTCAAGAATCCATATATAGGGCAGGGGAGATAGCTCAGTGGAGTAAGTGCTTGCCTGGCAAGTGCAAGGTCCTGAGCTCGATCCCTGGTACCGCACAAACAGACAAACAAAAAGAATCCGTATATAATAGACTTACAGTGTCGCACCCACATAGTATTTGTGATTATAGTAAAATTTTAGGTTCTTCAGTTTCCTTTAACTTTTATTCTGCTTTAAAGTTTGGTTTGCTGGATTTCCCTGATGTGTTTTTCAGTTTATCATAAATTACACTTAAAAGGCTTCCTTGCCGAGCCATCTGAGTTGGCCTCCTGCAGGCATATAGTCTTCATTTCTCTTCCCCAAGCCCTTCCTGTCTGAGCAGTACTAACTAGGAGGGTCTCTGTTCAGGGGAGAAGGGAAGAGCCCTGGTGAGTACTGGGCAGGCCAGCAGGGAAGCGAGAACACAGCCCTTGGTGGGTGTGGGTTTCCCCGGCAGAGTGGGCTGTACAGCGGCCCGGGCCAGCGAGAGGGAAGAGGCTGCTGCTCGAACACCAGTGTGACTGTTGTTTTCCTTTTTGTGTCAACTGTGTGTCCTGCACTTTCTCACCGTGTGCCCTCCAGTGGACGCCCTGGGTAAGTCTGCCTTCCGGCTGTGGTGGCTGGGCACGGTGTGGTCCTTGCTGTGGGCTTCCATGCTTGTTCAGGCCCATTCTAGCTGCCCAAGTTTTCTTGCCAGCTCAGAACAATCAAATGTGCCTCCTAATTTCCCGTAACTTCAATGAAATTGTGTGTGCGTGTATTAATCATTTTCTTTCTTGGATGCTTGGCTGTTGAGAGTGCTAGCATCGTGTTCTATGGGCCTTGGGTTCTGCATAATTCAGTGCGAGACTCGTGGAAAAAAGAAATACCAGGAGATTTAAGCCCTCTGTTCTGTGGGAATTCAGTGTGTTTCCACAGAACACATGTATGTACGCCTGTGCATGCATGTATATGTCTGTCTATTCCACAAACAAATGGAATAGATACGCTATGTAAATTCTCAAAGTAATTCCCAAATCAAATTTGGCTGTAAGAACGTTGGAAAGTACCCAGCTTTGCCTGCAGAGGACCATACAGTTCTTTCCAATCCTGATAATTCTTTTTTTTTAGAAAAAAATCAGAAGTATTTCTTATTTCAGCAGTTTGTGAAGTGTTCGATCTCAGAGGGATCTGGCCTTCAAATTCTAGCCCCCAAATGTGATTCTCTTGATTCAGCGTAAGCCTCACTGTGAGTAATTGTGCTGCTAAGCCCCAGGTCGCTGGAGCTTTGTCACTGTCGCTCCTGTCCCGGGCATTCTGTCTGCGAGGTGTTCGCCTGGCCCCCTTGCCTCATGTCCCCGTCTGTTCCTTGAGCCTTTGAATGGTGGCTCTACGAAGTGTTCAGATTGGACTCTGTCGTCTACACCAAACCCAGTCCATATGGGTGTCCTTCAGACGGTAGTGCAGGGGGCCCACTGTGACACGGGCACATGGGTATCTCTGCGCCCACGTGTGCTGGGCTGGGCTGGTCATTCCCCAACTTTTAAAAGGCGGATCCCTTCCAGTTCTTAATATTGTCATTGTGAAACTGCTTGAATAGTTTTTTAGTAAACCATTAGAAGGAAGGTAAGTCAGTTTTTCTCACTGCAAAAAAATTCCCGTAACATGAAATGTACCATTTTAACTGTTGAAGATTGTATGTTTCTGTGGCTTTTTACACATTCACAGTGTTGTACTGCCACCATCACCATTTCAGAGCATCCTTGTCACTGCACAAGACACCTCCTTCCTGTGCAGTGGTCCCCCAGTCGCCTCCCCCTTTGGCCCCTGAGCCCGATAGCTGCCTACTCAACCCTGGACCTGTCCCTTGGACATGGCACATAGCGCAGTCATGCGGGAAGGGGCTGGCCGAGGGCAGGCTCTTGGCTCCTGAGTCCTACGATGCCTTTCACTGAGAATCCATCTCCCAGTTCCGGCGGTCCCTGCGGCATGGTGACAGAATAGAGGGCTGTGAGACAGAGCAGGCTGCTGTGTGAAGCTGTGAGGAGCCCTGGCCTCTGGCGCATGTGGTCCTGCTCACTCCCCAAAGCCTCTCCTCCCAAGCCCTGCCCCTAGCACTAGGGACTGAGTTTCCAACACATGAACTTTGAGGACCCTAGGACAAGAACAGCACCCTAATGCTGAAACTCCAACCTTTAGTTAAAGAATACGGGGTCTTTCACATTTAATTACATCAAAGAGGATCTCCAAGGACAGCCCACTTTTGAGAATCTCCCCAGTCATCTCCTCCACCTTACTGTGTGTGCTGAGGTGGCTGTGGGTGCCAGTGTCGGTGGCGCCTGAGCCATGCCGGGGGTGCTGTGTCCCTGTGCTGTGAGCGCTGTGTGTGGGTCAGTTCCTTTGTTCTTATATCCTCGTGTGGAGGGAAACTGAGGCACAGTAGGTTGACAGAATAACAAAATGAGTGAGTTTGAAAACTATTAAGGCCAAAAACATTCATCTTCCGTAATCAAATTTGTCTTGATTTCTGGTTGTTTTTCTTTGGAGAAATCAACCAAAAGCTGCTACACAGAGTAAAGACTAGAAAATGACATAGAATTGGTGATGGCAGCCATCTTCTGGTGGGAAAATCTCACTGACTGCAGGATGGCATCCATGAATTAGTAGATGCTCGGTTGCCTTCTGGACCACGAAAGGGAGAACAGTAACTGCCAGTGAAACCACGAGGCCCTGCTGGTTGTACCGCATTCTGATTGGGGAGGTCTAGAAACGCAGAGACCGGGCATTCAGGGGATACCGCCTCATTCAGACGTCCTCTGAGAGCAGATGGCAGTTGTCTTCCAGAGTCCTGGTGGTGGCCTCCTGTGTCTGTCTCAGGAGAAACAAGTGGTAATAGTGGCATGAAACTGCCAGCCTGAAAGATGCCTGAGCCGAGTTTGAGTTCTCTTAAAACCAAAGACCGAATTTTAGGAACAATGGAGGTTAGGAGCAGAATACCTGTGTTGGGGGAAAAAAAGCTTCTGTCCGAGAGAGGGACAGAAGAGGGACCTGAGCAGGTTACCCCCGAGTCTATTTTTTCTGTTTTTTTATACAGCAAAACTGTGTGGTGAAGCAGTTCAAAGGTGGAGACAGGAATTCTCCAGGTGGGCATGAGGTGGGACAAAACTGCGGGCAACCAGTAAGATTACAAGCACAGTCACTCGGGTAAAATGTATTAAATCCAGGACCGAGTGGGGAAGCACGTTACCACAGTAAGCAGGCACAAATACAGAACTGGGGCTTTCCTGTGGGGTGGGGGGTGAGGGGTTCGTGGGGTGGGGTTAGTGACTCTTCTTAGGCCTCCAGAGACTCATTTAGAAGCTCAGTCCCGGATGCCTGTCTTTAGGGAGGTATGTGGCTGCATTTGCTGATTCTTTTGTCTAGAGGTCTAGCCCACAGCGGTGGTCTGTCTAACCAAAGCTGCAAAGTCATCTTTTCTTCCGTACTATCTCCTTGAGGGCCTGACCCTGGCTGCCTGTGTTTCTGTCTAACTCAGCTGCCTGTCGCAGAAGTGGCCTTGGATGTTCTGCTAACTCCTCGACACCTTTGGCCCACCATATCCTGGGGTGGCACCTCCTGGTCTAGAACCCTTTGTTGTGCGTGGCCTTTGGTGTAGTCATGAAGTCATTGTGTAGCTGCAGAGAGGTGTGGGGCATGCGGGCTGGGAGCAGCAGGTGACGCCAACCGTGATGTTCCCGGTGTGAGGTAGGGTATCCAGCGCTTGTGTTGGGCGTGGTCAGGAAGTACAGAAAATGTCCACATGGGCTTCCGACAGAGAAATCCAGATGTTGCTGCCTGCTGTGTTTCTGAGCAGAAATGCGCATCGTGCTGGGAGCCGTGGCCTGGGGAAGCCACTTCATCTGCCTCACTCTGGGTTGACCTGACCAGAAGGGAGATTCATTCCTTCCTTGAATGTTTATGTAGAGATTGAGGAAAATAAAGTGTGCATGTTAGGGTAGTGATAGAAGACCTTCACCCTGGAGAGCTTTGTGAGTTCTCCTCCGTGACCAGGAAACCTTCCTCCCTACAGAGGCATGCTCCTTGGCCCCTGGCAGGCTGCCGGTCCCCTGGTGTGTCTCGGGAGCGTGACACTCTTCAGGGCAGGGTGTACACAGCTTCTGGCTGCTGCTCACCAGAATTCTGCAGCATAAATAGAATCCAGACCTGGAGACTGGCAGTGGAAAAGAGAAGTCTCAGGACTGAGGATGAGTTAGATTTTAAAGAAAAAGCCAGATGCACTGCTTCGCTCAGGAATGCTGTCTGGAAAGCCCATCGGGGTGTTTTAGCCCTCCCTATCCTCTTCTGGCAGGTTGGCCTTTCTGGAATGTGTTGGTTTTGAAGCCATTTAAGGGCACAGTGGGTGAGCCAGTAAGCAGGTGGGTCGGGCTGTTCTACCAGTGCCTCATTCAATTGCAAATATTTGAGAGCCTCTGTCTTCCAAGAAGGATGCCAGTGAGAAGATGGGCGTGGAGCAAAGCTCATGGGACTCTTCAATCAGTAGGGAAAGCGATACTGAATAAATAATTTGGGAAACGGCGATGAATTGAGCTGAGAGCTGAGGAGGACGAGTACAGGGGAGTCCTGAGCCAAATGGGGACTCTGCCAGGGGAGGGGGCCCTGCCTCATGGAGAGGTGAGGAGGGAGGTCTGTGAAGATGGGATGGCGTGGTGCCTAGACCTGCAGGATGGGAGAGAAGGCCCAGTGAGGCTAGGCTGCCTGGGGACAAGCAGGACCCACGTGTGCCTGGAGAGCAGGCCATGCTGGCTACGGACAGCGTACTTTCCTGAGAGTGACAGCACTGGTAGAGTCTGCACAGGGCCACTGTGGGACAGGTAGTGCGCCGCTCAGGTGAGAGGTCACGAAGGGGGTGGGGGGACATGGGTGGAGACACACAGGAGAGATAGGGCGCAGTAAGGCCCTGGGGGAGCAGAGGACCGTGGGGGCTGTGCCCCTGACACTGCCACCCTGGGAGGTTTTTAGCTTAAAATTCACAGATTTAATCACAAGTGGACAAAAATATGTTTTTAAAAATTGCAGCTGAAGCTGGGTGTGTTGGCAAACGCTTTAATTCCAGTACTTGGTAGGCTGAGGCAAGCGGATCACTGCGAGTTCAAGGCTAATCTGAGCTGCATAGTGAGACACTATCTCAAAAAAACCCCAAAAACCAAGAAACAACCCAAAAAAAGACACCCCCCAAGTGCAGCTGAACTGAGTATGTGCAGACTTCTTGGTACCGTGTCTGATGTGGGTCGCTTAGTAGCCGTTTCCGTAGCGTTTGTGTCAGGCAGGAGGGGAAGTGTGAATGGGTTATGTAGGTGCCAGTCCTTTATTTCATGAGGGGCTCGACTCTCCCGGGAGCTGGGTGTCCACCGGGCTCCTGGAGCCAGTCCTGGGATCCCAGGTACCCGCTGTGTTAAGTCAGCACCAGCACAACTCAGGACTGATGACTGAGTCTTAAAATTGGTGCATCCAGCTGGGCCACGAAACACTTTCTCCCACAGTTGTTTCTGATAAGTGTAATTACAGGTTGGGGTAGGAATTTAAGACATAATCATTTTGCTTTTAGGTTATGAAATACTCTAAATGGAAATCGTCTCTCTGTAGTCATAGGCAATTGTTATACTTTAAAATACTGCAGTTTGAGAGTCCTTTAGGTACAATGCAATGCATATTAAATTAACTGTTGTGAACATAGGATAGCACAGACATCTGTCTGTCTGTCTGTCTGTCTGTCTATCTATCTATCTATCTATCTATCTATCTATCTATCTGTCTATCTATCATCTATCTATCTACTTACCTATCTCTAGCTAGCTAGCTCGGGAGGGTCTCGCTATGTAGTTCAGGCTGTTCTTGGACTCACTTTGTAGCCCAGGCTGGCTTCAAACTTTTTTTTTTTTCAAATCAAATCGCTAGGACAGTTTTAATAATTAACACACTTCATACATTCTTCCTAGTGGTTAATTGCTGTACAAGGTGCAGACTTGAGATCCTATTTACAAACACCATTAGAACAAATCCCTCTGTTCATTAAGAGAATGCAACTATATATCTATCCTAACCACTTTGAATACACAGATACAAAATGGACATTCATCTGTATCCCCTTTTTTTGCTAAGTTCCGTTATTTGAATATTATAGGTGTGTAAACTCAGCAAAATATTCTAAGAGAGTCCAGTAGCCCATAATTGGCTTCAAACTTTTGGTGCCCCTCCTGCTTCAGCTTCCAGAGTGCTGGGATTGCAGGCGTGTGCCACTGTGCCTGGTATTTTCCTATTTAGATATATAAACGTCTGTTATTACAACTAGCCTTATCCTTTCTAACTTTTCAAAGGAAGTAAAGGTGACATGGTTCCAGTTCTGTATGTTCATAGTTTCTTTTAAAAGTGCCTTTTCATAATCACAGTAGTTGCTTTCCTCATCACTTGAGACCCCAATACCTGACACCTGTAGCCATGAATCCACGGCTTTTAGTCCATGGTCAGCTGGCTCCAAGGCAGGACGGCGTGGTGGGACAGGAGAAAAACTGCTCACATCATGGTGACCAGGAAGCCGAGAGAAGGGCAGGCTGGGAGGAAGGTGCTGCTTCCTGTTCACGTCCCTTCTGTTGGGGCCCCATGTCCTTCAGCACATGTAGCGGTGGTTCTTTGGAGGGATTCTCAGGGCCCAGTCACCCCCGGAAGCCTCACTAGGTCTAAACCCCACCCATAACCAAGGCATGTCCAGCAGGTTGAATCAAACGTCATGGATTTTGACCTGCTGTCACCACAGCCCCTCTTTGTGCTTCTCTCCCAGGCCATTTTGCTGTGGGCTGCAGCCCTTCACGTCTTGCTGTTAGAACGGTGCAGGGGCAGGGTTGAGAGGCTTGGAGAAGGCCTTGGTTAGCCCTGAGCCACACGGCCTCCCCGCAGGGCCACAGCTAGCCACAGGGCCTTGCCAGGTGCTGAGAGTGAAAGTCTGGCCCCCTCTGGAGCTTCAGAAGCGTGGGCTTGTGTGGTCTGTTCAGGGTACAGGATTTGGTTGTACAGGCGCGTTTTAGTACAGGAATAGAGAAGGTCCACATGCTCATAGCATGCTGAGGCCCAGCCTGCCCTCCGTGAGCCTGTGGCCATGGAGGAGGAAGGCGTGTACGAGAGTGAGTACTTGCTCCTTGGAGTTTTGTCCGCTAAAACTCAAGAGGCTGGTGGCTCTGCTGGCCAGGTGATGTGTGGGGGTGGCTTCCCTGCATCCTTGGGGAAGAAGCTGAAGAAGCGATAGAGGATTTTTCTGGAGGGGTGGCTGGTGACAGAGGAGGAAGGGGTGAGTGGGCCACCCTAAAAACACACTGAAGCTTTTGCAGTGTCAAGCTTCTTCTGTACTGTAACCCTTGGAGAAGACGGTCTGTGGCCTCAGATGCTATGTGTGGTGTGTCTGTACAGGCTTCTCCTAGCGGGAGTCACCTGTGTCCCCGCGCATTTGCATGTGCTCAGCTTTCCTGCTCTCTGTACAGCACCTTCAGGGGTAAGCTTTGACTGTGTATGATCTTCCCATTGTATGCGAACGTAAAGCTTACACCGTGCATAGGTATTGGCTTTCATTATGAAAATATGGCCTTGCCTATGGGGTTGTTTTTTAAGCCTGACTGCCTCTTGCTCCCAGTTAAGTTTTCTTCTCAGCTTAGGAGATTTATTCCTGTATCCAGGATAGTTGGCTCTGCCCTTTCTTCAGATCCCGTGGTACATCACGTTGAACATCTGCATGTCGTTCCTGTAGGGTTAGACAGTCACTGGCCTAGCTCCTCCTGGGAGTGGGGGGCTTGTTCTTTGGCTTTGAGGTGCTGCTGAGGAGCACAGTGAGTGGGGCTCTGACCTAGGTCTTTTCCTTTCTCCTGGTGACCTTGGACAGACCTCAAAGCTTTTCTAGGGCTTGCCCTCTACTGAAACACAGCAGGTTAGTTTGTGTAACCACCAAGACCCCCTCTGGCTCTAGTATTCTGTGTTTAAATCTGTTAAACAGATGTTTATTAAGTACTTAGTATACATGGCCTTGTCCTGGGGCTTCTTCAGGGAAAGGCCAGAATCCTGTCTTGAAGCAGTTCAGGAATTCTGTGTTTGGGTAACATGTAAAATGCCCCCAGGAAGCCCAGAATGGAAGTCAGGAACTAGTCTCTGGTGTGTCACCCCATGCTCCCCACTTACTGACCCCGCTGTGTCCATCCTTCTCAAGCCTCCTCAGGGTGCTCTGGAAGGAAAGCGCCCTCTCTGGCTGTGGGGCTCTGTGGCAGCCCCTGTGGGGGTTGTGCAAGGCCAGAAAGCAGCAGAGGGGCTCTTGTAGAGGCCCCTCAGGAGGGTCTCCTCAGCGCAAGCAAACCAAATAAACACACTGTTCACGTATTGGAAATTGGAATAGGTTCCTAAGGAGAATAGCTGCCTTCAGTCTTTGGGGAGTCTTAAGTCTCCCCTGCCCCTCAGTCCTCAAAAGTTGTGGTCTGGACTCCAAAAGGAAGCCAGGGAGGAGAGGCCCTTGTCTCAGAGGCTGGCGTCTCAGCAAGCTGTACTGGGGCTTTGTTTTGTCCACAGGGAGAGGTGACATCCAGCCCCAGTTGGACAGTGCTCTCCAGGACGTCAACGACAAGTATCTCCTGTTGGAGGAAACAGAGAAGCAGGCGGTCCGCAAGGCTCTGATCGAAGAACGGGGCCGGTTCTGCACCTTCATCTCCATGCTGCGGCCAGTGATTGTAAGTTGAAGTCGCTCGGGGCGGCTTGCCCTGTCGAGTGGGGAGGGTTTTCCTTTGGTACTTGCTCATCGACCTGTGTGAGTCGGTGACAGTGTGTCACATGTCTGCAGTCACAGTGGGGAGTCATGCCCGTAGGCCAGGGATTGCCTTCAAGTGCGGGTAGCCGTGTGGGCCTTTACTTGGGCACAGTTGGCGCCACTGTACCTTGCCCAGATTGAAGAGGCCTAGTAGAGTGGTTCTCCACAGGCAGTCCAGCTGCTAACATCACCCGGGAACTGTTTGGAAACTGAAATATTCAGGCTCACTCCAGACCACTGAATTCCAAACCTCTGGGTTGGGGCCCCCCGATAATGTGTTTAAACCAGCTGTCCAGGTGATGCTTCTGACTTGGGGCCAAGCTGAAGCTCGAGGAGAGACCATGAGGTCAGAGCAAAAAAAGTTTCAATGAATGAGTCACGTCCTGTGACTGAGAACTCCAGGTGAGCGCCTGTGAAAGCCAGTAGCAGGGCGTCACTGCCCCTTCTCTCATCTCTGGCAAGAGGCTGCGCCTGAGATGATCCCTGGGAGTAGAACTCCCCCTAGATCGTCGTTGCCTGGGCCCCTGATCCTAGTTGGAAACTTTGGAATGTGTCCGTTCCACATTTGTTAAGATGGTTTTTTAAAAAGCAAGAGAGGACAGTGGCTGATCACTCCGTGTTGAAAAGCTAGCCCAGTGATGAGTGACCCTGACAAAAGCAGCTGGACTAAGACCAGGAGTGTATGACATGTGGCACTAGCCAGCGAACTGTTTTCCTGCAGGAAGAGGAAATCTCGATGCTGGGGGAAATCACCCACCTGCAGACCATATCGGAAGACCTGAAGAGCCTGACCATGGACCCTCACAAACTGCCCTCCTCAAGCGAACAGGTCGGGGTGCCGGGCAAGCACTCGGGGGCACAGGCCGGGGTCCCCACAGCCGTGCTGTTGGGTGCCAGTGTTGCGCAGCAGCCCCATTCCAGGTGCTCTGCGCACATGTCCTCAGCTCACCTGCACTGTTGGGCCTGTCTGTGGAGCAGGACCACGCGGCACTGGAGCTCGATGGAGTCGCTTCCCCAGGCTCACCTGGCCAGTGGGGAAGGCACCTGTGCCAGGCCATCGCGCTGTCTCTTGACCCCTGTTCGACAACCCCAGGGGTAGCCTTGCGACGGTGTGCATGGGTGGTTGCAGCTCGCCAGCCTCCTTTTCTCCCCTGTGCTCATGCTTGCGAAGGGCTCTTAGAAAAAAGATGGCGCCTTAGGCTGCGTTCATCTGGTGCATGTGGTATCAACACTACAGATACATTTGGGGGAGGCTGAAGAGCCCCACGCTGGATGAGCCCTCTCGGGATAGTTCTTGCCTTCTCTGGGGAGACTCAGCTGGCGACGCATTTGGGAGCTCGTATCTTTGTATGCTATGAAAAGTTTCCTCTAGCAGCCCAGAGCGTGCTTCCAGTCAGGTTGTGGGTGAGCGACTTGCTGTGAGCGCTAGGTGTGCCTTCCACGCAAGGGCTCTTTGGCAGGCAGGGCTGATGGGTGCAAAGATAATTGCAGAGGAACGGGCTTGCTCTCGGTTCCATCAGCTCTTAAAGTTCCTGATCATGGTCAAACCGGGCGCAGGTGGCCAGCGAATAGGAAGTGGTTATGGTACCTATTCAGCAAATCCGGACCATTCTTGCCTTTGTGGGGGCGCTACAGGGTGAAACTCCTGCCGGCTCTTGAACTCGTTACATGGCCGCCTTGATGGGCTCTCTTTACTGGTGTTTCATGCTTTTCCCTTCCTCCGCATCCTGCCTTAGCCACACTTCTGCATGCTGCAGATCGCAACATTGATGGGTTATTAGTAGAGCCCTGCAATGACAAAATGTCCCGCTTTCTCCTTTAAAGCTGCTGCCTGTGAGGGCAGCGTTTTGATGTTTCTGTCAGGGTGGGAGTGTGGCGAAGGCTGTGTCCCTTCTTGGCACCTTGCTCACCCTCTTGGCTCTGTCCCCTCAGGTGATTTTGGACTTGAAAGGTTCTGATTACAGTTGGTCCTATCAGACGCCACCCTCTTCTCCCAGCACCACCATGTCCAGAAAGTCCAGCGTCTGCAGGTAGGTGAGGGTGGGGACGAGCTGGTTTCAGCGTGAACAGAGGAGCCGGTCTCTATCTCTGTCATTTTAAACAGCACGTGGTGAGCCAATCAGCTCAAAGAATAGTCATGATTTTGGTCTCATGCTTTGGCTCTGGATTAATTTGAGGTCAGAAATATATTATGTTAATCCCCTAGACTGGTGGAGAGCGCGTGCAGCAGAGCAAAAGGCCCAAGCACTAAGGAAAGGTGGATGGCATGCTTCTTACACAGGCTGATTCCCAGTTGCTGGAGCAAGCAGAGGCAGCCGCAGGGTTGTGCCCCACCCCGTCTTTGTTTCCAGAGTAAATGGATTTCCTGCGCTGTCACTGGTGTCACTGTCACATTGCTCTCCCCAGCGATCCTGTTACCTGCTCGGACCCAGGCTCGTTTAGACTAGTCCTGCCGTGCACAGGACTGCTGCCCTAGCCGCTTTGTTAGGTGGCTGTTCTTGCTGCCAGAGAACGTTTGTTCTCTTTGTGAAAGCAGGAAGCATTGTCCTGCACAGCTGAGATTCCTAGATCCACTACACCTGCTGCTAGTCGCTTTATGTGACATGTCACAGCCGGTGAATGCCCACTTCCTGAGGATGCGATTAAGGCGCAGGACGGACCTGCTCAGCCTGCATACGGAAGGAACGTCTGTACATCCTGCTGCTGGCTTGCTCGCTGCAGCCTGCAGAGACTCACCTAGCAGGCAGCTCAGGAGTACTGCCTGACACTGCCCCTGAGCTGTCATGTGGCTTCTTGTCGTCTTTTGGGGACTCTGTATTAGCCTGCGCGTGAGAGAAATATATTATTTTAGGAGCCAAGAAAAGTGTGTTTCTGGGTAAACCAGCTGCGTGGTATCTTTCCTTCCTTATAATCTCAGTTAAGTAGGAAAGCACGTTGCTTTGCTATGAGCTTGTTGCAGGGCTTTGCTCTGAGTTTCACCGTCCCTCCCCAGGTGCCTTCTCTGGCTGGCTCTGGGGTAAAGGCAGAAACAGTGGTATTTACCCCTCCAGCAGACTGCCCCACATTGTAACAAGAATCCTAGGGGACTGCATGGCTGCCTCCTGTGCAGAGCTGTCTCCTGCAGGGCCTAGAGCGGAAGCGCTGGCCGCCATGTGCATTCCTCCCTCTGAGGCCGGGCCTCTGTGTGGACCCAGTCTGCTTCTTGCACCAGGAGATAGAATGCAGGCAGCACACTCCGAGGGCGTGTGTCATCGTGTGCCTTCCTGAGTACTGCTCCATCTCGGAAGCAAACAGCGAGGCTCAGATTGCCTCGGGAGGCTGAAAGCTGCCTGCCTCTGGCAGGTGTCCTTTCATGCCGGCCGCTCTTACACAGAGAAACACCTGCAATCAGGAGAAGGCTGTTAACTAAAGCTCTCGCTTTTTAAATAAAAGGTGAAATGCATGCACGCACACACACTGGCCGGCCCGCTGATGCTCTTCTGTGGGCTTGCGCTGGTCGGGGTGCCGTCGCCCTGGGGAGCCCTTCAGCTGCAGTTGGTTGTGCTGAGCTGGTCCCTGGACCTGGCTGGTCTGGCTCAGGACACTTGACCAAGCTGTGCAGAAGCCATGACGGGTGTGGCTCCCGGTGGTCCTGTCTGCAGGCAGATGAGGTCAGCTGTGGTAGCAGGTGCCCCGGAGGTGACACAGCAAGGGTGGGCGTCCTTGAGCCTTCTGAATCACAGGCGTTGGTGTGTGCACTACCTCACCAGAGACGTAGGTCCCCGCTCCTCTGCTCAGCTGAGGAAAACACTGTTTGCTAGGTTAGTGATTTGGTACCAGCTGCCTGAGGGGCTGTGCTTGTCCAAGGCCAAGAGCTGATCACACTATGTTGTGCCCCCTCCCCCTCCCTCTCCCTCCTGCTGTCCCCTTCTTCTCCCTGTTGCCCCCGTGGCTGCCATCGTTCCTTGCCCCTCACAGCAGCCTCAACAGTGTCAACAGCAGCGACTCGCGCTCCAGCGGCTCCCATTCGCACTCTCCCAGCTCGCATTACCGCTACCGCAGCTCCAACCTGGCCCAGCAGGCGCCCGTGAGGCTGTCCAGCGTGTCCTCCCATGACTCAGGATTCATATCCCAGGATGCCTTCCAGTCCAAGTCGCCCTCCCCCATGCCGCCTGAGACTGCCAACCAGGTAAGGGGCCCTCAGCTCAAGGAGCAGCTGGTGCAGCAGGTGCCCTGATCACCAGTGGTGGCCAGAGCCACAGTAGGACCTTGGCAGGGACAGACCTTGTGTGCTGATGTGGAACACCTTGGCTCATTCCTTGTACCTCAAGGTGCTGCTCCTCACAGGGAGGGATGGTGGGCATTGCCTGGAGGTATGGCTGAGCACGACCTTGGCGTGGGAAGCTCTCCTGCATAGCCGGTGGCCTGGAGCTGTGGCCCCTCTGGCACTCCTGCAGGAGGCCGCCTAGTGAGCTTCTGTCGGTGGGCAGTACTGCAGTGGGCTTGCCTCCTGCACCCCTTAACAGCCCAAGAGCATGTTGTTGAAAAGCAATTCCGATGCCTTTCTTTGGCCCTCTCGGCTTCCATCTATCAGTTTGTTTCCAGTGAGGATGAATTACCAGCGCCGCTGTGGAGAATGCGGATGGTGCTTGGACCCCGGGGAAGGGGGCGGTGTGGGATGTCTTGGGTCAGGGGGCGTCATTCCAGCTCAACCCAGCCAGTGCGCCAGCTACAGCCAAAGCAAGGGCTGAGAAGGAAACCGGACAGCCTTCATGTGCATTGTCGGCCCTTGTGTGCCCCTCAGTGCCTCTGCCATAGTGCCAGTGTGCGCCCGCTGGCCTGGCATTTGGTAAGCAGCAGTTTACTGAAGAGTGGGTGTGCTGTTCTGCCACCTCTTGAGCTCCGTAGCGCCACCTTCTGGGGAACCTAGGCCAGAGCATCTGATTGCTCCTGACTGGTGAACTTTGAGCTCTTTAGCTTTTTTTTTTTTTTTTTTTGCTTTCTTGTGACCTCTTTTTCTTCCTTATTTAGAGACTCAGTTTCATACAGAATGTGGAGGTCCCAGTGCCACTGCTCTAGTTTTAGTGTGCTTGTCCATCGTGCTGTGTCTAGTGGGTGCTTCGACTTAGCCTCTCTCTTAAGGTGTCACCTTGTCCCTGCAGCGTGCATCACTAACCCTTACCTGTCCTGCTTGCACACAGTGTGAATGGTCAGGAGGAAAGCGGGACGTGCGCTCCTCAGAGGCTGTTCTCGCGGGCAGCATGATGGCGGGCTTGTTTTCGTCAGGCTGGAAGGGCATAGCCTCATGTACAGATAGTGGTTTCTGAAGAATAAAGCTGTACTACATGGCCTCCTATCCGAGACTGTGTGTGTGTGTGTGTGTGTGTGTGTGTGTGTGTGTATGCATGCACGCGTGACTGTTTTGGGGGTGAGACTGTGCTTTTACTCTAGGAGGGCCAGGGAAAGCAGAAGGTGGAAATTGGGGATTTTAGAAATCTGAAAGCCTGTACCTGATTGATTTGACTAGTAGCATTAGAGAAGTTTCAACAAAATCCAAGATGCTGCAGGATTTAATAGAGACCTTTTTTTTTTTTTTTAAGGCATTATGACTGCTTGTAATTATAAGGTAGGGGAGATTTAAGGAAATTGCATAGATCAGCCTGAAGGCAGTAGAGTCACCTTTAATTTAGATACTTTTGACCCTCATTCTAAAGATGAAAAACCCTTAAATTTAGAGAGCTTTGAAGTCCACAGTTCCTCAACTAGACCTGGCAGAGACAAAGCTCCAAACTCTCGCACTTTGGATCCTGGGCTGCACAGGAAGGCTCAGGCCGCGAGGGTGCCCATCCACCCTCTAGCCTGACCTTGCTTTGACTCCTCAGAGGCCTGCGCTCTGCTGGATGTCATCCTGGCCCCTTGTCTTTGCAGGCAGGGAAAGCTTAACATCTGTGGCTTTGTAGGAACCTTTTTGATGTGGCTAAAAGGGACAGAGACACCAGTGTGGGTTCCCTGATAGTGAATTCAGGAACACTTCTGGGGGCAGGGCTTGTCTCGACATCCTGGGGTTAAGGTGAAGGTGGAGGTTACCCGCAACAGAGAGATACTCCAGGTAGGTCCCTGGCGTGGTCAAGTCGTGCCTGGGAGCTGGCTGACAGAAGCGCCGTCATGGCAGCTCATCTGTCTTCCCGGATCACCTGCCAGGACCCGGATGGGAACTTGGGTGTGACGGTGACATGACATGTAGCCCTGCCAGCAGAAGTCTTCAGAAGGCCCGTTGGAAGCACATGCCCTGCCTGTGGTTGGCACCAGAACGTAGGACCTATCCATGGGAGGAGGAGTCCTCACGCAGCCCCCCGCAGCTGCTGTGTTCGAATCGTGGCACTGAAAACCTCACTGCAGGTTTTCCTAGCCCCACCCCCAGATCGCCCTCTAGGCAGGGGTAGCTCGCTGGGTCTGACAGCTCGGGGCCACCCCGCACAGCAACAGTGCAGGCAGGAGAGCCGCTCTGGGTGGACGTGACAGTGCCCACGCTGCGGTCAGCCTTGGGTTATAAGTAATGTCTATGCCTGGGGACGGGATTTGGGGCCCCAGAGAACACAGCCCTGCTGCCGTGGCCGGCCCCTCAGGGCCAGGCACGTGGAGGAAGCAGCACCCGAAGCACACATTAGCAGGGCTAGAGTTTGCCAGGTTGCGTGCTGTGCTTCGGGGGCCTGAAATCTCTTGTGTGAGTGCAGAGTGGAGACGAGTCACCCTAACCCTGCGCTCTCTCATCCCCCCCTTCTGTGTATCTGTCTGTCTCTGTATGTGCCCTCCCTGCCCCACTCCTTTACTTTGATTTCTTATGATTTTGGTGGCGTGTGGTTTTGGTCTGTTGGTCCCCTCGTGTGGTCCCTTCCGCTGCAGAACTCGTCCAGCTCAGCCTCCTCCGAAGCCTCGGAAACCTGCCAGTCAGTGAGCGAGTGCAGCTCTCCCACCTCTGTCAGCTCAGGCTCCACCATGGGCGCCTGGGCATCCACAGAGAAGGTGACCACCCAGGGTCGCAGCCACCGCGGGCCTCCTGTCCCCACCTGCAGCCAGCACAGCTGCAGGAACTCAGACACTCGGCATCTACCCTGCGAGCAGGCCCTTCCTGGGGACAGGGCTGGAGCAGGCTGAGGGCTGTGTCTCAGGGAGCAAGGGGACTCCTAGGAGGGGCCATGGGGAGTTTGGAGGTTTGAAGGCTCCTTCCAGGACAGGCACTGCGTGCGCACCTACCCTCTCCCTTGCAGTTCCCCACACCCATCCTTGGTTTGGAATCTGCTCCTGAACTGGGTGATGATTTTCAAAACCTACAGTGAACAGATGCACTTCAAGATTTGTGAATTGGCGTAAGAGAGGAGCCAATCCCTATCGCATGAAATCATGCTTCATTACTTAACTAATCAAAAACTGCAGTAAACACTGCAGGTTAAGGACGCTGATGAATTTTACACTGCTGAAATGCAGATGTGACAGTTCCTTGACGGAATCCTCAGCGGCGCCAGGCAGTGTGTGCCTGCGCCTCGCTCTCCTCTCGCATCGAGGGTCACCCACGAGCAGCAGAGCCTTGTTGTGTCCTGACACCCAGGTTCCCCTCCCCCCAATGTCAATGCCATCGTGTACCTCCGCACTCATCCTGTTATATTAATTTTTTCCTTTTCTTCCCTCTTTTTGTTTGTTTCCAGTTGTCTAATGGGTTTTCTCACTGTAGTTTATCAAGTGAGGCCCACGTGGGGCCCGTGGGTGCAGGCCCTTTCCCTCACTGCCTGCCCGCCTCCCGCCTGCTCCCTCGGGTCACCTCTGTCCACCTTCCAGACTGCGCACATTATTACACCATTGGGCCTGGCATGTTCCCGTCATCTCAGATCCCTAGCTGGAAGGTTTGTGTCCCCTGTCCTGGCCCC